TAATGATAGCTCATTAGGGAAGCTCTTTTTGAACAATTATGGAGTATAAAATATAGCTCTTGAAATTGACTTCTCCCTATAGTGACAGCTGACCCTATTATTCTCTTTTTTCTTCTTAATTAACGCCTAGTAGCTTATCTTAATTAACTCTATCTGGAATATTGGGCATATATTTATCATTTTCTGATTATATGAATATTGGGGTGGACTCAGGAAAATGATGAATGTGATTGGAGTATGAATTTTTAGCTGATCTTGTAATGGATTCTCCATATAGTTACAGGCAACTTTTTCTTGTATTTTCCTTCTTAATTGATTTCTACCTACTAGTTTATCTGAACTATATGTGAAATATTGGAAAAATTAGTCATTTTTCTGCATCCATCCAAATCGTGTGTGTGTGATTATATAAGCGGCTATGCCTCCTTTTTTTTTTTTTTTTTTTTTTTTCCCTTTAGCAGCTAGCAAGATAATTGAAGACAAATCATGCCATTTATATAGGACCAATATTCTTTATATATGCGGTACTGATTTGACAATATTGGCAACTATGTACTTAGTTTTCCTTGAAGTGCGCACAATACTTCTTTTGCAGTATTACAGATTCTCATATATGGAAATATTATTGGCATTACTATGCAGAGAATATAACACAAAATGATTTAGATCCCAAACTATTTGAAGCTCGCATGCCTTGAGATCTTTTAGCGCACGGCACGAGTATATGAACATTCAACCCTTCTTTTTTTGGTGGAATTGTCAGGCAGCCGTGGGTTTAGGTCAAACGTTCTAGTGTTTTTCCTGCATGTCCACTTCGAAAACTAAAAAGAAAAAAGAAAGTTTCTCCGTAGTCCGTCCTACCAGTAATTTTAATTTTTAACCATTATATTTTATCAAAATCATATTATATTAAAAAAATATATAAAATAGATAAATTTTGATACATAATGTGTAAAAAACTACTAATGCTCCATTTTTACAAAAACTATCAAAAAAATAAAACAAAAATTACTACTCAAAATAGTAAAAAAAATATTACTTACGTCACTACATATAAACAATTGTCATTTAAATATAGACGAAAGTATTAGAGAATAACAGTTTTTTAAAAGTGAAAGAAGCAAATGTCAGTTGAAGAAATTGGATGAAAAAATATCAGATTTTGAAAAACGATTTGAAAAGTCCGAAAATGCCCTCCATCAGAAATACCCCCCTCTCCTCCTTCATCTTCTTTCTCTCCTTGGAACCACGAGTAGCATATCAGAATCGTGAAGCCGGTGGCGGTGGAACGAAGCCGGAGACGGCGTTGGCATCTGCAGGTGGGACTTGGGAGATCACTAGGAGGAAGAGCAAGAGAGCGGCGGAGACAGAAAGAGAGGGCAGCGAGGAGAGAGAGACGGCGATCGAGCAGAGATGGGTGCAAAGGAGAGGGAGGGCCAGGGGGAGAGAAAACGACATAAAGAAAGTAACATAGAGTGAGAGAGGGGAGAGAGTGGTTGAGAATTGAAAATTTTGTTTTTAGGGACATTTTTTATAATGCATTTATATAAAAAAAAAAAAATATTTAAACTTTTATGATATTTACTAAACATCCCTTAATATCTGCTATTGATTTTAATTACTCTCCTAAATGTGTTATTTCCTTCCAACACCCATTAATAATAAGAAAACAAAAAGGACAGATGTTTAAATGGGCCCATGGGCTTTGAAGAAAGCTAATAAAGTCAGATGTCCAAATATACTAGTGATCATTTTATTATAAAGCCATTTAAAATCATATGTATAATAACAATACCATCTTTAATTTCATTCATATAATTTTATTATAAAGCTATAATGATGAAAAAGATACCAAAATTTTGAATTCTAAGTTTGGATATTTTGATAAACTTTCAAATTTAGGTTTATATTTGAAGAGTTCACCTTTCCAAATTTAAGTTTCATAAATTTAATTTAACGAATTTTCAAAAACTTTTTCAAAATTGAAGTTTCCAAATCGAATTTGCCTTCCAGATTAAATTTCACAAATCATTTTTTTTTTTTTTTTTGCATTAGGCGAGTTCCCAAAAAAAATATATATATATATATATTTAATCCATGCACTGGATGCACGGGTTGGCTGCTTGGTAGTGTGTGGGCAAGGCTTATGTCCCCTGGGGCCATATGTAAAGGGCATGGGCTTTGGCGGATTCTAAGAGCCGTTTAATTCGTTAATTCAAGTTTTTAATTTGAATTGAGATGTAATTTTATGTGAAAATTTTTTACTGTAGTAAAAAAATTAAATGTAACTGTTTCTGAGAGTTTTTTATTGTAATAAAATTCGAATCGATAAAATAAACGGGATCTAATTATGCGCATCATGCACAAAATATTTTACAAAACGCATAATAGTTGTAGAAGATATAGCAAAAATAATGTAAATTAATTGGATTTGACGTCAGCTTCCATGTTGTTTTAGAAATCTCCGACTTCATGATCTTCATATTCATATTATAATTACAAGGGAAACTTAAGTCGTTTTCAGCGCGCGTATGGAATTTCTAGAAAGTAATATAGAACTAGTAGGAAAATTATGGTTTAAAAATACAATCAAATTTTTATGGAACCATCACCGACAAAGATTATATCAATATAATATCCAAATAAAATCATGCATTCATCACAATGCGTAATCAGGATACCAAAAATAATAGAGATGGTTTTTATACTAATTGAATTAATTTTGGTGAAATGAATTTCAAAAGGAGTTTTATGAAAAATTTTAGATTTTAGCGACCGAATCTAGTAGATGAGCTATATTCATCTAGTGAATGACACGTTATGCAATAAATATTCAACAACTTGTGAACTCATGGGACCAATCTAATGCTGTAATTCTATAAACTAAGTGAAATTCTATTTATGAAGTCTAGCTATATATCTGCACCACATTTATGTATAAATTAAGCCTATACGCGAAGTTAGATAATCGAATGTCAACTCTCTGAAAGAGATATTCCTCTAATTCATTCATTATGAAACGTTATAATTGGGTATAATTTAGGTTGGATGTTGCTTTTTGAAGTTTAGTTATTCACTTGTACTATATTTATGTGTAAACTAGGTTCAGATCTTTTTTTTAAAAAAACGAAAGATATATTGGCCGTTTTTAGAATTGATCCCATTTTTATTTTTCACGTTTTTCGAAAAAGAAAAAATAAAAACGTTTTTAAAACGGCGTTTAGCACAATAAAGACAAAAAATAAAAATGGAAACAATTTTTTAGTTTAGTGTAAAATGAGAGAGAAATGAAATATGACTTTTAGTCATTTTTCATTTTTTGTTTTCGTTTTCTTCTCTCTTGAGGAGAGAAAGAAAGAGAGACATTAATGGGTTTTCTTACACTGAAAATAATCTCTTGATAAAATTACCAAAAGTATTTTTAAAAATAATTTCTGTCTAAAATTAAAAATATTTTCATTTTTATTTTTATATAAAAAATAAAATTATTTTAAAATGAGTTCTAAACGCATCAGTACCATTCCTATAAACGCATTTCTCTTGTTGTCCATATAATTGATGGGCCTAGAATCAGCTCCTGGGCCAAGTCGTTGGGAATAGGCTACGTGGGTAGCTTAAACCCTTGAACACAGCCCGAAGATGAATATGCAAGTCAAATTGGGGTATAGCATGCATTAGGGAAGAGAACAAAATTGTCTCCGGTCTCTACAAAATTTGAATAATAGATTATGATTCGTTAAAGTATTTTTTCTTAAAAAAAAATACACATGAACTAAAAATAGTTTTGAATCTATAAACCAAATGTCCACTTAATTTTCCACGAAGAAGAAATAAGTAACACTCTATTCTCATAATGCACTGCAGGAACCTCTTTCTCAGACCCTTGTCATGGTTGTATATATGTGGTTCGTACTTTTTTTCTTTTTTTTGGTTATTGACTCTTGACGTTTGAGGTTACGTACTCATCTCATTTTAGCCAGCGACATTCACTTTTAAAGGTCTAATAACGTTTTTATTTCTAAAATATAGTATCGGCTCATTTATTAATAAATTGTCAATTTTCAAAAAGAATCTAATATGAATAATATGAAATGTGAGAAAGATAAAATGCATATTTGAAAAAAAAAGAAACAAGATATGAAATACAAACGCGATTGTTCTCCCAGCCCATACCTTTTTTCTATTAGAAAATTTTTTTTAGATATGCTTTTTCTAATACCATTTTACCTTTTTAAGTCTTTCATCATTGTGTTACATTATGCCTCGAAATATACTTTTTTTTTTTTGTGAAATATACATTTTTTTAACTGATAGTTGAAACTGTACAAAACTATATATTTTATAAACATAAGGGTAGTTAGATTTCTAACAATAAATGTCGGATATCAAAGTGAGACAAATGTATATTCTCGTAGGCCATTAATGAAAATTAATTACTTAGAAGATTCTTAGGATAAATTGATCCGAGGTTTTACCACAATGATAATTAACAAATTTTCTAATTCCCATTAATAAATGATCAGACAAATTAATATACTGTACTATCTACACCAGCAATAATTCGGATAGCGAATTGGACAAAATACATAATTTGGCAGCGTTTCTTTTCCAACAACCTTTTCCCTGTGCCCTGCAAATAAAGCTACATGATTTTCTGATCCATTTCAGTTTAAGCATAAGAACAACCTGCAGTTCTATATACACGTCCATATATAATCTAAAAAGAAAATTAATCAAGAATAGTTATAAAAATTTAGATTCATACACTTTAAAAAGTATTTGTCTCTTTTCTTTAAAATATTATTCATACACACTCGGCCCAAAAACAAATGTTAATTAAAAAAAAAAAATTTAATTCATGCACTCTAAAAATTATTTGTCTCCTTTCTCTAAAATATTATTCATACACACTCGGCCCAAAACCAAATGTTAATAAATAAATAAAAAAAAAAAAGAGAAACAAATAAATGGTGATCAAAGCGAACTCAATATATGCGCAACCAATTTAAGAAACAAAAAATTAAATTAAAGAAGGGATTCAAATATGCAAGATCAAGAAGAATTTACTAGTACAATAAATTTAATTGTGTTCCAATAATTTTCTCTATGACTTGATCATCACTGACCTTGGTGATCTCAGCCTTGAATTGATGCTACGAACAGGTGTGGAATTAGAACCAAAAAACTCAGCAAATATTTCCATGAAAAACGTGTCCACAATTTCAAGATAAGCAGGGCAAGTGAGACGAGAATAGTAATGAAGAACCTCTTCAATGTCCAAAACATGATCCACATTGCTCAGGTCCAACATCTCCAGCTCTTTAAGCCTTTTCTCCAACAAGGCAAAATTCCTTGTATTTCCCTCTTCAGAACAATCTTCTTTTCTCTTCACAATCACCACTTTACTTGGATAGGCTTGATCATGTCTTCTTTCCATCATATTCTCGTTCTTCTTGATCTTCTTCTTCTTCACCGGACTAGTAGTCATAGCACTCGAGTTTAGTACCGAAAACTTGTTCCTACGTTGGACAAGATCACGATAATCATCACCATCTTGTTTATCATGATCTCCTTGGGTGGATGGAAACATGATTTTCGTCTTGTTTATTCTCTTACTCGACTTTGGATCAATATCACCGGAACCCCATTGGATATTCATGTCTAGGGCACTAGTAACATTGGTAGTGTTGTAGGAAATAATACTGTTGGGAACAGGTGATTTTGGGAGCTTTTGGTACGAACCGCCGGAGAAGAAAGATTTCAAGCTTCCTAGGGTTCTTTGGAAGAACTTCCTAGTATTAGAAATGGAGTTTCTGAGCAGCATTATTATTGGCGTGAGTTAAGTGAGAGCAGTTGTTGGCTTCTTTCAATAATTTTGTGGAAAAGAAGACAAAAGAAATCTCTTCCGTGGGATAGTTTTCGAATTATTCTATGATCAGTGAGGATTCTTATACAACAAAAAGACGCGTTGAGGAGCCAAAATGGAAGGTTTGTTTAACTTTCTAATGGAGAAAGAACGTACCTCTCTTTTGCCTTTGATCATTTTTTTCTTTGTCTTCACACGCTCCTTTATTCTATCTCTGCTTCCCCAACGGGTCCCTTAATTAATTCTCTCTCTCTCTCTCTCTCTCTCGCATTATAAGATATATAAAAATCATGAGAGAGAAAATATATATATATATCTATATATATCTAATCGAGTTATAGTGATCACTAGTGCTTTGAGAATATATATTGATAAGATTGATGGGTTTCGTTGCTTTTACTTTAGAAGGTGGAGTTGGTCGCGTGTAGTCTCTTTAGGAGAATGAAAGGAGCGGGTGGTGTGGTTGTTAGATTTTAGTATCTCGATGATGGGCTAGCTAATCTTAAAAACGTTGGTTTTTTTGCTTTATGCTTTCTTTATATAAATAATACATATATATATATATATATATGTGTGTATATATATATTTACATGGTAAGCTTACTTCTTGATCAGTTCTTGTTATATACAAATATAATACGTATTTTTTCAAGGTGCAGTAGACTATATAAAGTCTTAATCAAGTTGGATAGAGATACTAAAATGAATATGTGAAAGAAAAGGATAGTGAAGTTCTTGCTACGATGATCAATTTAAGTCCAAATCTCAAGTTAATACAAGACAACAATGATTAATTATCTTAATTTGTTTCTTTTCTCTGTTTTTATATTTAATTTGGCTAGACATTGGTTGTGTGATAAGCCACTTTACTGTCATGTCAAACTTATAATCCCTTGAATCACGCATTGACTAGATTTGCATTATTGAGGAACTCTGAATATGTGGTCTAATAAGCCAAACAAAAGACCGTTCACCAGTAATGCGATGCAAAGTCAATTTGTACTGGTTATTAATTCGTTTGGTATATTCGGCTCACATTTTTTTTGTTATGACTTTTATTTTCGCATCTTTTTATTAATATTATGTCATATCAATTTTAACATGCTTCTTAAATTCATATTACATAGTATTTTAGTTAACGTCACATTTTAATTGATACGGTATAATAGATGAATTAAATATTGTCTATGTCACCCACCGAAAATGGACCAAGTCCATATATAAAATTCCTACATGGGTTTCTTGGTCGCCGGTGATGGTGTGCAGCGCGGAGCAACAAAAGGGGTGGATTGGCATCGGGAGAGTGATATAAGTCTGAAGGTTTGGAGCACTGATCATCTTGGCATTTTTAGGCCACGTTCATTTCACCGATTCGAGTTTTGCTATTGTAAAAAATTCTTAGAAACAATTACATCTAATTTTTTTGCTACAGTAAAAAACTCTCACATAAAGTCACATCTCAACTCGAATCAGCGAACTAAACGGGCCCCTAATATTTGGAGGCCAGAATGTTAAGTAGCGTTGGTATTTTCTTTTCTTTTGGTTTGTATAACTAAGTCGACATCCCAATGCTATATTCGAGGTCATGGGAATTTATATGGTATGAGAAAATTAAAACCCAAAAAAAAAAAAAAAAAAGTCTTGTACGGTTCTTTATAAACAACCCATGTGCCAGTCCACTAAAAGCATGCATCTTTCAAACTTAAGTCCTCCAGTCAATAGCTATAAAACACAAAGAATGCAAAGACAAAAAGGAAAAGAAAAGGAATAAAAAAGAAACTTGAGAAATATAGTGCTGTTTCACCAGCCTGCCTGCTGTCTAGCTAAGGCAAGTACAATTTTAGTCTTATTGAAATTTACATTGGGTCATGAAGATAGCTTATTACAGAACATATCAAAAAAGAATGAATTGTGCAAAATTTGCTATTGTGTATTTCTAATTACAAATATCCACCCTTAATGTTAGACTTATGCAAAATTAGTTGTACGAAAAGACACAACTATTCTAATTGAAATTATGATTCTTTGAGAAAGATATTCCAAGAGCAGTAACTTTAATCTTCATTTTTCTTGCATTTGAAGATAATTATAATTTAAAAAAAGTTTTATGTTGACTAATACTACGGGTGGAGCAATATGGGTTCTCGATTAGATGGTGTTCGCTTCTAGGAGCGTCTGTACGATTCTTTGGGTTTGTAAATTAGGGTTTTTTGTCTGCTCAGCTAGTGTCACGGTTTTTCTGGTGGGGCACTTGGCCATGGTGGTGAACGGCACTGGTGGCGCATTTCCACCGTGCGTTGTTTGGTTGTTGATCTGTTAGTGGCTACCTCCTACCCTTCTTTTGTTGGTTGTTCTACACTATTCGATCTTAATGCTGGCCTTATCATTGGAAGCGTTACTCTTGTGGCTTACGAATTTTGCTTGTTTTTATGTTTGTATCATAATGGCATGGTCAATTCCACCGTACATTTGGGTTTTCGCTACATGTTCGGTTGTTTTTTTATTTTATTTTATTAGGTAATAAAATGTGGTTTCCACATCCTTCAATGTAAACTATTTGTTTAGTCTACTAGAATTGCTTTTTTACGGTGTTGTAAGTTGCCTAAATGATATAGATATCAATCTCTATCAGTCGGGCTTTTTCTATCAATTATAGTGATTTTGTTGAATGTGTCATATATTTGTTGGCGTGCCTATTTCATTTTTAAATTTCGAGACCTGACATGCGTTTGCGCGTTTCATTCTATTTTATCGATGGTACCAGTTAAACCATTTGTATTAGTATTACTGCTCATATTTCTCTAATTTGTAATTCAATTTTTCCTTTTTGAAAAAAGAAAAACACAAGATGGAATTATTTTATTAGAAGAGTACAAGAGATAATCTCTTTAATTTTGAAAACAGTATTTCAATCCATTTTTCAATATCAACTTAAATAGTATATGATTTGTTGTTTTTTGATGGTTACTTTTTAATATCAACCAATTATATAACCAAATTTTTAAAACTTACCTTTAGAATAATGATAGCTCAGATTTCATGTAAGTTGGTGTTAAAAATTGGGATAATAGTGTATGATAAAATTGAATATACAAAAAAAAAAAATCAATTTAACAAGTAACATTAGATCATCTCTAGCTTATCCAATCATGCATAGCTGATCCTTCAAGATGTTAATTAGTTGCATTTCCCTCGTACGCTTTTTCCACATATCATATCATATCATACAAACTTCCAGTTTATAAATAAAGAAAAAATAACGTGCATTTCATTTGTTAAAGGATATGACACGTAAATACATACATATATACACACACACTAGCTCACATTATATATATATATATATACAAACACACACACATATACACACACACAGAGATGCTACATTTTTCTCCAAGTTCAATCCCCGCTAGATTAATTATTGAGTGACTGTTTTCACGATGATGATGGGCATTATGATATTTTTGTGTGTCTGTAATTTTTTTTTTTTTCCTTGTTGAGAGAGAATATTTGTCAAATGTCAAGTTTATGCATTGGCCTCGTGATTAGGTGGTATAAATTTAGGTCACCATAGATATAGCCCTCACAGCTGTGAGTGCCAAATAGGGTATATACGTAGAGAGAGAGAGAGAGAGAGAGAGAGAGAGAGAGAGAGAGAGAGAGAGAGAGAGAGAGAGAGAGAGAGAGAGAGAGAGAGAGAGAGAGAGAGAGAGAGAGAGAGAGAGAGAGTGAGAACAAAGTAATGAAATCAGTTGAGGGTGACTAGAGAGCGGCTAGGTCTAAACAGATAGAGACATCCCTAGTTGTAGTACTTACTCTATTTGTGACAAAACTTATAAACCTAACACAGAAAGTGCCACGAGTCCTTTAGGGTTGGAACCAGTCTCCCTCAAATGGAAATTGGAAAACACAATGAGTGAAACCCTAGCCGGCCCTTGCGTACGGCTCAAGATTCTTTCTTCTTAAGACTTGTCACACCCCAACACAACATTCTGGTGAAAACTATGCTACATTTTTCAAAAACAATCCAAATCTAAGATACTAGATGATGGCTTTGAAAAACAAAAAAGTCTTGAACTGTTGAAATAAAAGTTATCAACTAAAGTACTTGAAAAATAATTCAAGATTCACGATTGAAATTGAACTGCGGGGTGCATTTTAAAATGTAAAATTTGTTGTAAGATCTCAAATAATAAAAAATGGGAGGTGACTCGTGCCCTGCATAATATATGATATGATATGTACGTGTATGATGATGATGAACTAGCAGCTTAATATACAGCATTGAGTTATTTAACGACAATCATTGATTCATGTTGGAGGAACAATTGTGGGTATATTGATATCAAGATCCATACTCACAAATGATGAAATTAATCGTTTAAAAAAAAAGAGACAATGATAAACTTAATCTTCTTAGCAAAGTTTAAAAAAAAAAACAAAAAAACAAAAAAAAAAACAAAAAAAAAATGATAAACTCAACCACATCAATTGATTAAAAGCCAAAAAAAAAAAAGGGATTGAATGAATCCAAATATTTATAGGGAGAAAGAGGGAAAATGAATTAAAATTAATAGGCCAATAGTTTACATAAGTTAATAAATAGGCCAAATTAATGTTTTCGTCCATAACTTGTCTGGTTATGAACCATAACTTGACAAGTTACTGTCCATAATTGTCCATAATTTATCTGGTTGTGAACCATAACTTGACAAGTTTGTCCATAACTTATTTGATTATGAACCATAACTTGACAAGTTATGACCTATTAATTTTTATAACTAAAAATTAACCTATATACTTTCTTAAACTTTTCATATTGACCTATTTTCTACTATTTCTCATATTTATATATTACCTCAAAAAATAGTGTTGCTATTTCATCTCAGCAGCAAGTAAATACATGGCCCAACCAAGACCAAGTACTCAGTATGGGCCAGCTTCAGACTTGCTCCGTCCCATTTCTCCTCCTCCAACGAACAAGCCCAAAACTACGAACCAAATCTCTAACTAGCTAGCTAACTCACTTGGAAAAACGTGCAAAACTAAAAGGCAGAAAGAAAGGGAAAGATGGAGATGGGAAGGGGCTCAAGAACCCAAAAAATGCGATTCAATAAATGAAGACGTTAGACCTCAGAGCAAACAACACAAACACAGCATCACACACCCTACAAAAACATCACTGCCATTAGCACCAGACATTCTTTTAAAATCGCAACATCCCAATTAAACCATCATAATTAATACTCACTGCAACACCAAAAAAAAAAAAAACAAAAACAAAAACAAAAAAAAACCTTGTCATCAATTCAATCCACCTTAAAAGTGACGTCCTGGATTGTTACAAAATAATAGCCCACTTACCACCTCAGAAAAGATAAACAAGCCATGCACATCTCTCTTCCAATCCCAGATCCTATATGCATGTCAAATAGCTGTCAATACAGAGACTATATATATATATATATATATATATATATGCATACACACACATATATATATAGCCAAGTAGTAATGCAGAGCAGTAAAATTAATGCCCACATTCTGGTTTTGGTCCCCAAAGTCTGATGTTACAAAAGGGATTTTGGTAACATATTCTGTCTGTATATACCATTCCTTTTTATTTTATTTTATTATTGTTATTTTCTTTTTCACAGGTTCTTATGTGATATAACCTTTCTTTCTACTCCCATCGTGTCTTCTTTTTCGGTTTAGTCTTTTAAGCAACACCCTTTTGTGGCCTTGAAACAGACGTATCAGTGATCCACACACAAGGGCTAATAATAAGTGTAAATTTGTAAAAAGAAAAAATTGACTCATCGGTTGAATTCAAGAAAGGAGAGTCTTTTTGGAGTGGGCAAAAATGGCTCTCTCGTCGGTACTCCCACCTCTGACTTTGCAGCAATAATGTGCCATTTGCTTATGCCTCGTTCTGTGCCACATTCTTTTATAACTTGTTTGCCTTTTTATTATTCTTTTCTACTTCTCGATTGGTCAAAGGCCTTTCTTTTCAAATATATATATATATATATATAAATTATATATATAGGGGAGAAAGTCGTGAGCTTTTGTGATGTGAATATATACTACTCATTATCTTATCATTTGAGTTGTATTTACTACGGGCACTATATATCCTCCTTGTGATTATTCCTTTTATTGTTATTATTACTAACTTTTAGAAATTATAATCCTCCATGTGACTGTGATTTTGGTGTGTTCAGACTTTAATTTTTGAAAAATGAAGGATAATGTTCGGAAGACGCTATGCTACAAACCCAAAACTCTATTGATGTTAGGGTGTTGGGATGTGTCTGATTTTGTCTAATTTGTATCTTTTTTTGCATGCAATGAAAACAAAAATGGTTCGGCATAGTTAAATGTACGGGGGTTAATAAGACAATATATCAAAATATTGCACCTAACTCAATTATATATATTTTGTCTCTTTTATGCACCAAAAACAAAAAATTTCACAAATTAACGATTTGGTTTTTCTTGTCCACTGCCTGCATCGTGCCAGTCCTGTGGTCAAATCATATATAAATGATGTCTTTTTTAAAAGAAAGATCTTTTGGCTTTTTATGCACTAGGCAACTGGAAGATGCGTGATAGTCGAATTATGTCGAGTTTTGGTTTAGAATTAATTAAAAAAAAAAAAGAGTAACTTTTTTTTTTAGGGAATAAAAATGCTAAGTTGGGATGCTTATAATATGAGTAAAGCATGCTTTGATATGCATCATTTTTTTCGTTCAAGCTTATATTATAGTTCCGTTTATTTCACCGATTTGAATTTAAAATTTAAATTTTATTATAATAAAAAGCTATTAGAAACAGTCACATTTAACTTTTTAGTTACAGTAAAAAGTTCTTACATAAAGTTGCATCTCAATTCAAATTAAAAATTCAAATGAGCAAACTAAACGAATCTTGTGTTTACACATGCATCCTTTAGTTTATGAACTTTGGGGCAGATTATGATTGTTTGTATTAAGATTTCTTGCCAGTTTCACATCTACACTGGATTTTTTAGGAGGCAAAGAGATTTTCTCTTTCTTTTTTTTCTTTTTTTTTTTTTGCTCTTTTTGTTAATGTATTGAACTATATAGGTAGGCCAATGACCACCAACATCCACAAACTCGTTATTTTAAACCTTTTTTTATCTTGAGCATTGATTGTTTTAAAGCTTAAAAGGTCCTGCAAGTTGCAATTATGATTCATTGATCACAATTAGAAAACAATCTTATGTAAATACCATGATATTTTGAGTTTCATCATGTAAATCAATTAACTTATCATTGATCAAAAGCTAATCATCTCAAATGTCATTTGTCTCCATCAATCGGGCAAGTATTTCTTAAAGATAAATTTTGTTGTAAAACTATTTTCCATTCTGACTTATACCATTTGACTTTAGATTAAGGGTCATGAGACAAAATAAAAATATCAAAATTGAAAGGAAAAGATTAATTATAGGCAAAACATTTACCACATTTTGCTACTTGGTCACACCCTTCACTTCCGTTTTTGGTGCCTTTGTTTATTGCTGTTACTTGCTATCTGCTATCTCTTGGGCAATGAAAAAGAACTGGGGGTGGAATTGGAATATCTCCTTTTCCATTCTTTTTAGTGCAATTTTAGAAATATCAATTCAAAAGTCCAATCCACACGAGAAAGTAGGACAACTTTATGCTTTTGAACACTTTATCCATCTTTCAAGTTCCCAGTGGAAAAGTCTCCTCCCAACCTGATCAAAAGTTGAAAGGAAATATGCAATCACTTTTTCCTCTCCTTTAGTCATTTCCCTCAAAAAAAAAAAAAAAAAAAAAGAGAGAATTTTTTTTTTTTTCCAAATTCACCAAAGAAGCTTCCACAAAATTGCTCCACGCTTAAAGCTAGACAATGCTAAACTCTTCCTCTTCTACATCTTTTCAGACATTTTTTTACCCCTTTTTCACTCACAATTCACAAAGAAGAACAGACAAAAAAAAAAAGCAATTCACATAAATACAAGAAACTAAAAAAAAAACAACTTAAAATCTTTTTCCCATTCTACATTAGAACAACGATGAGATAGATCCATACACCGTCAGAAAAGTAGAAAAAGTGAAAAACAGTGGATAATAATAATCCAACCACTAATCTAGTCAATTAACAAGTTAGAGTAATTCTAATCAACAGGAAAAAAAAATACTAAAGAAGAGAAAACAAAGAGCGTTTTCTTCTTCTTCTAAGATCCCCAGTTAGAGAACAAAGCTTCCAAAATCTCCGTAAAAACTTCAACAATAACTCTGTGATGATGCTCGGAATTTAGAGAGAGAAAGCACTGCAAAAGCTGCTCAAGATCTTTGGCCGAAAATATCTGCTTCTCAACGATCATCTCCACCATTGAAGTCCTGAAATCATTGTGCGGATCGCTAGATTTCTTCACCACGGCGAAGCTGTCCTTTACTCTTCCCTCCAACGGGACAAGACCCATTTCAGAACTCGCCCTCCTCCGGCGATATCTCCGGCGCCGGCGAGCCTCCGACGAGTCGGAAGAACACAGGCTCTTGGAAGAAAACAGAGTCTCCGATGTCTCGTCGGCCTCTCTCTCGTCGTTCTCTTCGTCGCGGCTGCTGACCCCCCCCCCGCCAAGATTGCTGTCAACAGAAGAAGAGCTAAAAGTCGTTTTCTTCGTGCTCTTTTTGTACTGATTTCTCTTGCCGTTTTCCTTCTTCTTCTTCTTCTTTCTCTGTTCGTAAAACGGGTTGAGTGGGAAAACAGGGTAAAGTCGTTCGGAGAGCTTGGGCCTCGGGAGCATTACGTCAATGGTGGATTTGATGCAGTTGTTGAGGTCGACTTCGGTGACGGGTTCGGACCATTTGGGTCTGCAAATGGAAGGGAAAGGGCGAGGCTTTGGTAACGGAGGATTGTTATTATGACCATTATTTTGGTTTATGGGCTCGGTCATGTGGAAGCTATGGAGGTTGTCGTCGGTTATTTCAGGAGAGAGAATGGTTTTTTTGATCACGTCGGAGAGGTGGCGGGATCGGCACGAGCCGAAAGAGCCGCGGAACATGCGAGAGAGCTTGTGTTTGAATCGGTTTTCCGCCATTGGAGAGTGAGTGAGAGAGAGAGAGAGAGTTTGTTTTGAGGAGAGAGAGAGGGGGGGAGGTGGTATAAATGCATGAGAAACCGAAAGTGCAAGTCATTTTAATGGTGATATAGAAAGGGTCTGGGGAAACTTTTTGGCTGTATTTTCGTCGTTTCTTTGTCCTCATCAAGGAAGTTTTGGATTAGTTGTAATTTACTTTTCTTGGGCGTTAATATTTTGAAAAAGAATAAGGACAAATTTTATCAATGTTTTCACATTATTAATAATTTGAAAGATTTTATATTAATTTGCCTCATCATTGCTAATTCAAATTATGTGTTCAATTTTGATGTTTAAAATAAGATCGAACTAACTAAATATGTCAAATCATTTAAAATTTTAAGGTCATGTTTGATTCAGTTAAGAATTTGAATTTTGTTATAGTAAAAAGCTTTCCGAAATAATTATATTTAACTTTTTTACTACAGTAAAAAGTATTCATATAAAGTCCTATCTAAATTTGAATCAGCAAACTAAACGGGTCTAAAAAACTCGTTCATTTAACCGATTTGAGTTTTCAATTTTAAGTTTCTATAGTAAAAAATTCTCAGAAAATGTCACATCTAATTTTTTCTGTTACAGTGAAAAGCTCTCAGAAAATATCACATCTCAACTCGAATTCACGAAGTGAACGAGGCATTAATATATTGACGAATGACAATTATGACCCCACTTGACATTTGTTGCCTGTTAATTACGAACAATTTCAAATTGAAAACTGAATATCACCTAATCCGGCCCCAGCAGTAAAAGGAGAAGAAGAAAATTTCATATTGCTGCAGATAAAGTCAGACTTACATTTGCAGAAGTGGAAGTACACAAATTACAACTGCTCAGAAAAAAAAAAAAAATGTCACGCTAGCTTGGTTTTTGCTAGCTTATATATATATATATATATGTGTGTGTTTTAGCTAGCTTTTCTCTCCTTTTTATTTTTTATTTATTTTTTTGCTTTTTGAGAAGATTAAAATATTGATTGAAAACCTTCTTAACTAGAGTTGCTTTTCATCAGACACAAACTACAACTGCTCAGAAAAAAAAAAAAATGTCACGCTAACTTGGTTTTAGCTAGCTTTTCTCTCCTTTTTTTTTTAGAAGATTAATATTGATTGACAATTTTACCTTCTTAACTAGAGTTGCTTTTCATCAGACACAAACAATCATTTCCTAGATCAGTAAAACCGAGAGCAAACTTCATAATTACATCGCTTTTAGAAGAAATGATACCAAATTAATAGATGTCCAAGTACGAAGAATTAAATAACCAGACAGATGGTCCATAAATTTGCTGTCGGAAAGCAAATTATGTAACCTGAAAACAAGAACCTCGAATGAAATAACCGACCCCTCTATATGCAAGTAATTAATTAACTAGCTAGCCTTTTTGAGGAGATATATACACAGTGCTACAATGAACAAAAATGTTTTTTTCTTTTTTTAAAAATTTTTTTTTTTGAGGAAACAAACCTCATATATTTGTTATAAGTAATATATCCTACAGTACTTCTCTTACTTTCGTGCATTCGTGTTATTTCTTTATAAGGATCACGGGCACTTTGACTTTCCAACTTATATAATTAAATTTCTGCTGTTACCAAAGATTAATAGTCAAGTTACTACTTGCATTTAAAGCCCGTTTGGTTGGAGAATGCGTTCTCTGATTCGAATTATGATTCATAATTTACTACAGTATTTTTTCTCATAAAAAACACACATAAATTAAAAATAATTCTTAAATCATGATTCTAATCTATGAACTAAACGGACTCTTAATTATTAAACCCGTACTTCACTTTTTATCGCATCTTTAAGAGCTGGAAATGCTTTAGTCATGCTTTCTTTTCCTGATCCAACTACTACCATAAGATAAAATAACTAGTGCTTGAAGATTTCCCAACAGACTTAATTAGTACATATAAAAATATGGATGATGCATGCATATTATATATATATATATATGTATGTATGTATGTATGTATGTATATGTATTTAGGTACATGGCATATTTAAGTATATGATCTGCATATGTTGGCGAATAGTCCATTCATGGGTCCTAAGAATCTTGGTTGTACGTTTTTAATTAATATTATTATTATTATTTCCAAACAGAGGTTTTGAGAGGGGACAGCAGGACTAGGGAGTTCTTCGAGTGGGCCCCTATTGCAAGGACAACCACCGTTAGGATATATGCTTTAAAAGATGTTTTCATAGAGCATGGAAATGAGGAGGCATCGTCGGCCAACACCCATTTTTGTCACGCACTACACATATCAAAACACCTTATATATAAAACTATTATTATTTATAAAAATATAAAAATATTCCCTATATCAAACAAAGTAAAAATCTCCACTCACATATCAATTTCTTAAGAAAAAATAATGAAAAAAAAAAGTTGTCAACTCTTGCGCGTTAATCTTATAGCTTAGTCCTTTAATATTTGATTGCTCATTGACATACTAATTGACTTCATTTGATAGGAGATAAAAGAAAATATAAAGGAAATAAATTAGGCATGTAACTTAAGTGAGGAAAATAAACATCTAGCAAAAGAGATTTTTTTCTCTTGTTGTATTAGGTATGGATTTCTTTACTGGGAGTGATTAAAACCTCTTTAAAGGTTGAAGGATTTGAAATTTCTCACTCATTTCATTCCCTGCTATTTTCTCTTCTACTAAACAACTTACATGGATACCAAAATTTGTACGGTATTAATCCCCTTATCGTTCTCTTACGTTACACTTTTCCCCTCGTACTAAGAAAACTCTTAGGGCAAAATTATAATCATATCACGTGGATAATGCAGACTAGAAAGAGTACTTAGAAAGCAAGATAATATGTTTTACGAAATAATAATGTTAAGAACACCAACTCTAATCCTAATTCTTGTATACCAACTGATGATGAGATTGCACCTACTAATAAAAAGATGACAACTCATGTACCATATCAGTTGGCACACAATAATTAAAATTTGAGTTGGTGTCCCTAACATTACTCCTTACAAAAAATACTTCGTAAATGGGATATCGAGAGTTGTTGTGTGCGTGTATGTGCTACATGTATTTTGAAATGAGAGATAACTAAGGATCGAGTGGACAACAAAGGCAATATTCTCAACTTTTATTTGTCCCATAGTACCAAATATGATACTGAAGTATTATCACCTTTTACATATTTCAAACCTAGATTTGGTTTTTTATATACGGAATTTTTGTCAACATTCTCATGTCCTGGGTCTAACTCATACAATGGTTAAAAGACAAAGCGACATAGTCCCAATATCTTTTGGCCAAAACCAATTGAAGTTGAATCTTACTAATCAATACTACTCATTAAGGTGATCATCAAAATTTTCAATTTCCCAAAAAGGGCGGGCTGATCATGAGCCCTTGATGACAAATATATAATTTTCAAATAATTTTACCTCTCTCTGATCTCTCACAAACTCTTATTCCAAGAGCATCTTAAAGTCTTGGAAGCTTCCAAAGGATGTGAATACAAATTAAAGAGTTCAGCTTTCACCCTTTTACCGCAAATGCCCAACCAAGAACTAACAGACAGTTTAGGGTTAGCTTGAATTCATATTTTCAAGGCTAATTTAGAGCAATGACAAGAAGAAAACTATCACAATTCCATAGATTTCCTCATCCATTTCATTGCTTACTGATTTGGCTCATGTTTGTAAAGGCTCTGAAAATTTCAAACCCATTGTTGGATTTCCAACTGAGTTTTGAAATGTGGGATAAAATAGGGGTGACTTTTAACACTACTGGTGTTTTCACTCTTGGATTATTTGACTTTTGGGCAGTAGCAGTTTTATGCCACTTTTCATGTGTGGTTGTCCTTTACAATGACTGTAAACGTATGGATTCAGCACTAACCTTCACGAACTTACATTAAGATTGGCATATTTAAGTCCTTAAAATGAGGGTTTACTATTTAATCTTGAAGAAGAATAATATCAAGGTAATAAGACAAATGCAATGAACCAAAGAGCTGTGGGGCAAGCTTGGAAGTCACTTACCAACCTTTTTCCTCATTAATGCATCTTAGTTTAAAACTGGATCATCAATGATTGAAAATGAATCTGAATGCACTTCGTTTTGATATTGACCCAGATTATATATAATTTGGAGCTTTTTGCAGTAAAAGTATCAGTTGAAATGCTAGATTTGATTAAAAAAGAATGAAAAAGTAAGCAAAAGTGACAAAACCTTATACAAATATTACAGTTTAAAATAAAACTCTTATGTATAAACTTATTTTTTCATACTTTGTCCTACACATAACAGTTTAAAACTAAAACAAGACTCTATCGATACATTTTTTTTTTTTTTTTTTTTTACATTCTCTGTCATTTATAATTTATAGAAAATTTTTGTGATGGATTTCAAAAGTAAAAACTAAAAAATAAACAACTGGTAGATTTTTTTAACCATCAAATCTCTATAAAAAGCTGTATGTTCTGCTTAATTTTTTTACTTTAACATGATTTCTATCATATCTAACAATAAGAATGTGAACTACCGGTACGAGACCTCATCTAAAAGAACCCTAATTTATTACATGTGATGTGTGTTTCACGATTTGAAATTTAGATTTTTCTATTCATTTCTTCATACCTTTTTGTCATCCAAAACATGTATAAGAACTAATGGGAATGGAAGACAAAAAATAGTCAATCACGGGTCCTAGAAATTTGAATTCAACGAACCTTTTACTTAGATATGCACTATGACTAAAAAATAAAATAGAATCTCCAAAAGGCTATCTGCTATCATATCAGAGATACATTAATTAACTTCTTACCAAAAAGAAGAGATGGAGATAGAGAAAGATGTTATGATGTGCTGGTGAAAGGAGAATGGAAAATTTTGGCAGTCATTTTGGACCCGTACATTCACTCCTTACTAGAGATTTGTATGAACCATTTCCCTTTGGAACACTTGCATCAGGTGGCTTTCCTCTTTGACAAATAAATTGGTCAAAAATGGGTGTATTTTGAGACCAAATTTAGAATTCTCGTTGACATTGGACATTCCCGAGATCCGGAGATCATAAAGTGTTTGACTA